GTACAGTGGACCCCCGCATACCGATTTTAATCCGTGCAAGAGGGCTCATTGGTATGCGAAATAATCGGTATGCGAATGAATTTTCCCCATAAGAAATAATGGAAATCAAATTAATCCGTGCAAGACACCCAAAAGTATGAAAAAAAATTTTTTACCACATGAAATATACATTTTCCTACACACAACGAGAAGGATACATGCACAATAGTAGAGTAGTACATGCACAGTATATATTGTGCATGTACTAGTCTACTAAATGAAGAATAAATGACACTTACCTTTATTGAAGATGCAGCAATGACTGATGAGACACTGTGTCCTGGGAGTGCCTTTTCCTCCTGAGTACTGTAGGTCCTGTTTGGCATTTTCTTCCAGAACAGGCCTTATCACACTGTGTATGTCACTACGATTCTTAAATCTCTCAAACCAACCTTTGCTGGCTTTAAATTCACCAATATGAGCACTAGTTCCAGGCATTTTTCCCTGTTCACCTGGGTGTTAGTCGACTGGTGTGGGTTGCATCCTGGGAGACAAGATTAAGGACCCCAATGGAAATAAGTTAGACAGTCTTCGATGACACTGACTTTTTTGGGTTATCCTGGGTGGAAAATCCTCTGGGGTTAATTGTTTCTTGGTATATTCTCAATAAGCCACACCAACAACAGTGCTACAGCAGCAGCAGACGATGCTACAGCAGCAGCAGACTATGCTACAGCAGCAGCAGACGATGCTACAGCAGCAGCAGACGATGCTACAGCAGCAGCAGCAGACGATGCTACAGCAGCAGCAGACGATGCTTCAGCAGCAGCAGACGATGCTACAGCAGCAGCAGACGATGCTACAGCAGCAGAAGCAGCAGACGATGCTACAGCAGCAGCAGACGATGCTACAGCAGCAGCAGACGATGCTACAGCAGCAGCAGACGATGCTACAGCAGCAGCAGCAGCAGACGATGCTACAGCAGCAGCAGCAGACGATGCTACAGTAGCAGCAGACGATGCTGTAGCAGCAGCAGACGATGCTACAGCAGCAGCAGCAGCTGACAGTGCTACAGCAGCAGCAGACGATGCTACAGCAGCAGCAGACGATGCTACAGCAGCAGCAGCTGACAGTGCAGCAGCAGCAGCAGCTGATGGTGGTACAACAGCAGCAGCAGCAGACGATGCTACAGCAGCAGCAGACGATGCTACAGCAGCAGCAGACGATGCTGCAGCAGCAGCAGACGATGCTACAGCAGCAGCAGCAGCAGCAGCAGCAGCAGCAGCTGACAGTGCTACAGCAGCAGCAGACGATGCTACAGCAGCAGCAGACGATGCTACAGCAGCAGCAGCAGCAGCAGCTGACGGTGGTACAACAGCAGCAGCAGCTGTACCACCAATAGTAGCGATGGTTGATTGGGGTTTATTATACAACCTGGCCAGCTCGGAGACACGCACTCCACTTTCATACTTATCAATGATCTTTTTCTTCATCTCTATAGTAATTCTCACCCTTATTGCTGTAGGGTTGGCACTAGAAGCTTTCTTGGGGCCCATGGTCACTTATTTTCCAGATAAAATCACCAAAAACACTGTAATAATACAAAATGTTACGATTGTATGCTTGGATGTTACCGCGGAGGCTGGCTGGTAAACAATGCCATCGGTGAAACATGTGAGGCTGGCTAAGGCGCACATTGGACGCGTCTCGGACGAACAGCGGTGAGCGGGTTTTTGAGCGGTATGCGAGGCAAAATTTTTGCGATTAAAGTGAGCGGTATGCGGAATAAACGGTATGTGATGCCAACGGTATGTGGGGGTCCACTGTATTTATTATTTTCTGGAAGAAGAAAACACATAGACCATCACAGTCAGTGGTAAGTCAGGTGATACATTAAACATTATATACACGTGGTTCTGGACTTACAATAGGGTCAGGTTCCAACGAACCTGTCGTAAGTATAAAATATTGTAAGTCAAATACGAATTTGATATGCTAAATGAACAAGTAAATAAATAATTACTGTAACTATTACAGTATTGAAAAGTCAGTAAATGAATACAAGTTAGGGACAAGTTGTCTTCATGTGGAGTAATTATCTAAGTTTCATCTCCAAAGTACAGTGGACCCTCGACCAGCGATATTAATCCGTTCCTGAGAGCTCATCGTTAATTGAAATTATCGTTAGTCGAGTTAATTTTCCCCATAAGAAATAATGGAAATCAAATTAATCTGTTCCTGACACCCCAAAGTATTGAAAAAAAAAATTTTTACCACATGAAATATTAATTTTAATACACACAAACTGAAGAAGACATGCACAGTTACATGACACTTACCTTTGAAGATCTGGTGATGATTGATGGGATGGGAGGAGGGGAGACCGTTGATCTTCTTAGTGTTTAGAAGGGGAATCCCCTTCCATTAGGACTTGAGGTAGCAAGTCTTTTTCCGGGGTTACTTCCCTTGTTCTTTTAATGCCACTAGGACCAGCTTCAGAGTCACTGGACTTCTGTCGCACAACATATCTGTCCATAGAGGCCTGTACCTCCCGTTCCCTTATGACATTTTTAAAGTGTTTCACAACATTGTCAGTGTACAAGTTGCCAACACGGCTTGCAGTAGCTGTGTCAGGGTGATTTTCATCCATAAAGGTTTGCACTTTAAGCCACATTGCACAGATTTCCTTAATCTTAGAAGAAGGCAACTTCTTCAATTTCTCTATCCCCTCCTCCAAAGCGGTTTCCTCAGGTGTGGCCTCATGCTGATGAAGATGATCTAGCAGCTCAACAGTGGTTAGTTCTTCATTGTCCTCCTTCACCAACTCTTCCACATCCTCCCCACTAACCTCCAACCCCAAGGACTTCCCCAGTGCCACAATGGATTCCTCAACTGGCATAGGATTCTCAGGGTTAGCCTCAAACCCTTCAAAATCCCTTTTGTCTACACATTCTGGCCACAGTTTTTTCCAAGCAGAGTTCAAGGTCCTCTTAGTCACTTCCTCCCAAGCCTTACCTATAATGTTTACACAATTGAGGATGGTAAAGTGATCTTTCCAAAACTCTCTTAGTCAGTTGAGTTACTGAGGTCACTACAAAGCACCTTTCAAACATAGCTTTTGTGTACAGTTTCTTGAAATTGGAAATGGCCTGCTGGTCCATGGGCTGCAGGAGAGGAGTGGTATTAGGAGGCAAAAACTTCTCCTTAATGAAGCTCATGTCCCTCGAAAGTCGCTCTGCCAAGTCTGAAGGATGACCAGGAGCTTTGTCTAATACCTGGAGGCACTTAAGGTCTAATTTCTTTTCAATTAGGTAATTTTTCACAGTGGGGGCAAATGCATGGTGTAACCAGTCATAGAAAAAGTCCCTAGTGACCCATGCCTTACTGTTTGCCCTCCACAGCACACACAAATTAGCCTTGAGGACATTATTTTTCCTGAACACACTGGGAGTTTCAGAGTTATACACGAATAAAGGCTTCACTTTGCAATCACCACTAGCATTGGCACACATCAACAGAGTAAGCCTGTCTTTCATAGGCTTATGTCTTGGGAGTGCCTTTCCCTCCTGAGTAATGTAGGTCCTGCTTGGCATTTTCTTCCAAAACAGGCCTGTTTCATCACAATTAAACACTTGTTCAGCTTTCAGTCCTTCACTGTCTATGTACTCCTTGAATTCATGCACATATTTTTCAGCTGCTTTGTGGTCCGAACTGGCACCCTCACCATGCCTTATCACACTATGAATGCCACTAGGATTCTTAAATCTCTCAAACCAACCTTTGCTGGCCTTAAATTCGCTCGCATCACCACTAGTTGCTGGCATTTTTTTAATTAAATCGTCATGCAACTTCCTAGCCTTTTGACATATGATAGCTTGAGAGATGCTATCTCCTGCTATCTGTTTTTCGTTTATCTACACCAATAAGAGTCTCTCAATATCTTCTATCACTTGCGATCTCAGTCTCAAAAACATAGTTGCACCTTTGGCAAGAACAGCTTCCTTGATTGCCATTTTCTTGCCCACAATAGTAGTGATGGTTGATTGGGGTTTACTATGCAACCTGACCAGCTCGGAGACATGCACTCCACTTTCATACTTAACAATGATCTCTTTCTTCATCTCCATAGTAATTCTCATCCTTTTTGCTGTAGGGCTGGCACTAGAAGCTTTCTTGGGGCCCATGGTGACTTGTTTTGCAGGTGCAATCACTACAAAGGCTGTGATAATATGAAATGTTCCAATTGTATGTTTTGAAGCGACCGCGGTGGCTGGCTGCCTTGTAAACACTGGCACCCATGGGACAAGTGAGGCGCGCTCAGGCCAAAGTGGACGTGACTCGAACGGAACGAATAGCGTTGGTCGGGTTTTTTAGCGCTATTCGAGGCAAAATTTTTGCGATAAAATGTATCGCTAGTCGGATTTATCGTTAATCGATGCCATCGTTGGTCGAGGGTCCACTGTAATTGCTACCACACCATCATAAAGTTGAACCATCATAAAGTTGAACCATCATAAAGTTGAACCATCATAAAGTTGAACCATCGTAAGTTGAACCATCGTAAGTTGAACCATCGTAAGTTGAACCATCGTAAGTTGAACCATCGTAAGTTGAATCATCGTAAGTTGAACCATCGTAAGTTGAACCATCGTAAGTTGAACCATCGTAAGTTGGAACCATCGTAAGTCGAATCATTGCAAGTCGAACCATCATAAGTCCAGCCACCATGAGTCAAGGAGCACCTGTATAATCGTAGTGTTATACAATAACTTGCCACAATGTGAAGATATTTTCCTTGCAGATATCTACTTGTTTCCCCCATCTTTTTATATTGTCACTGATGAAGGTTCTCAGAAATACTGAAAGTCCTTAACCAACCATATTCCCCTATTTTTCCTCATTTCGTACAATTTTTCAAAATTTTTTGATGCTGTTTTTGTTTCAGTGGAACTTGATGCTATTTTGTTTGTTTCAGTGGAACTTGACTTTTATATCACTGAAACTTGACACTGTGTTGTTTGTCTCAGTGGAACTTGATGCTGTTTTGTTTGTTTCAGTGGAACTTCCCGAACGCCATGATCACCCGTAAGGCTGGAGCCGCCCTGGCTGCCGGATGCACTTGTGTGATCAAACCAGCGGAGGACACTCCACTCTCGGCCCTGGCTGCCGTCGATCTGGCTGAGAAGGCTGGCTTCCCTCCAGGTTGGTTCTTCAATTGCCCTCGTGGACTCTTGATCCAAGGATTTTGGCTCGTTCACTTTGTCCTTGGATCAGACAGGATTGTAACTGGTCTAGGATCTCCAGTTACTAACAAACTTTATTTCTTTTTGCAGTATCAATGAAAGTAGTTTTATATGTGATAAAATATTGAGTGCGTTAGATAAGAATGAATAGAGACGAATGGTTTTTGGGACCTGACAAGCTGTTGGAGTGTGAGTAGGGTAATATTTTGTGAAGGGTTTCAAATAAACTGGTTAGCCGGACTTGGGTCCTGAAGGTGGGAAGTACAATGCCTGTACGTACTTTAAAGGAGGGGTTTGAGATATTTGCTGTTTGGAGTGACATCTGAACTGTCATATCTGGGAGCCTCTGCAAAGACAGTGATTATGTGTGAATGATTTAAGGGTTAAGGAAACGTGTCCTAATGTTTCCACCTGTACCAGGGATCAACCCCCGGACCTCAGTGTGTGAGATGAGTGCACTAACAGACTAATACTATTGTTTACACATTTCTTAAGAACTAGACATAGGTTATTGAGTAGGCATAAAAACAAACAAGAAGACAATAATTTCTTTAAGGATGAATTATTATTATGAATAATGAGAATAAGAATATTGATAGTTATTAACGTATTTATGGTTGAGCAATTGTTAAGCACATTTAACACATTAAATATATTAAATTGGTGCAATTATTCAGTGTATTTAATATATTTAAATGGTGCCAGGATATCTTAGAGGATGTGTTTAAATATTAAGCCAGACACTGGGTATGTCATGGAGATTTGTGTGTCTGGTATTATGACTGTGTTCTGGTGCAACTATCATGAAAGGGTTTCAGGTCAGGATTTATCTTAGAATTTAGTGTTCTTTATATATAGTATGCACAGTAGTATGAGTGAATACTATGTATAGTTAGTAGGTTTAGGTCTCGGCACAGTGGTGGTATATATTGTCTGGTCTCAGACCAGTCATGGCTGGTCATATTCAGTAAGAGTTTACTACACTGCTCTGGTCTGAGACCAGCTCAGGAGTCCTGTTTCTCAGGACTAATAACAGATAATAAGGAAGGTTTTGTTTTTATTCTTCACAACCCTGACTCACGAAATCATTATGACACGATTGCAAACAAACCATACCTGGGGCGGGATTTGAACCCGCGGTCAGAGAGTCTCAAAACTCCAGACCAGATGCTGAAGACAAGTTGCCAAGGTTGATGGACGAATTTGGGAGGAATGTAAAAGAAGGAAATATAATGGGAACATTGGAAAGAACATTAAGATGAGAGGAACAAAGATTGTAGTTAATGAATGAAAGATTGGATATTATATTGGAGGGAGGAAGTATGGAGACAGTGATTGTGTTGAGATATTTGTGAATGAACTTATCAGTGGATAGCTCTATGATAGATGAAGTGAAGGATAGAATTGATGATGGGTAGAAAGGTGGATGGTGTACTGAGGTATCTGTGGAGACCAAGAAATTTATTCATGGAGGCAAAAAAGTGCAATATATGAGAGTATAGTGGTACCAACACTGTTACATGGGTGTGAAGCATGGGTTTTAAACATTGTACCTAGGAGGAGGAGGCTGGTAGTGAATATATCATGTCTGAGGACAATGTCTGGTGTGAATATTATGCAGAGAATTAGAAGTTTGAATATTAAAAGTTAATGTTGGGTCAGCGAGGGTATAATTGAGAGGGTTGAGGAGGAGTTGTTGAGGTGGTTTGGACATGTAGAGAAGGTGGAGAGGGAGAGGTTGATAAAGAGGTGTGCAAAATGTGGGGTGGAAGGTGGGAAGGGTAGGGGACAATAATGGGAATATTTGGAGGAATGAGTGCAAGAGGCTTTAATTTTGAAGGGCTTGGGCACCCAGCAGACTTGTGTCAGTGTCTTAGAAGTGGATGGTGCTGAGTGGTTTTTAATGAAGTTGTTGAAGTGTTAGTGAAAACTTCAGTGAATGCACTGAGAGAAACCTGGTAGCCAGACTTGAGTCCTGGAAGTGGAAAGACAGCCATTGGATGAATAATGGCGGATATGTCTTCTGTGCATCACTCTACCTTAGTGGGAGATGACCATCAACTAAAATAGTAATATTAGTATAGTAATACCTGTTGACAGGTGTGATCAACGTCGTGACGGCCTCCAAGGATAACACTCCAGCTGTTGGTAACCTCATGTGCACCAGTGACAAGGTTGCAGCTATCTCCTTCACAGGTAATGATAGTAAACTACTATTGCTATTCATATCTCCTTCACTGGTAATGATAGTAAACTACTACTGCTACTAGTATCTCCTTCACAGGTAATGATAGTAAACTACTATTGCTACTAGTATCTCCTTCCTACTGTGGCACAGACCCTGACCTCAAGACCATTGTACTGTGGCACAGACCCTGACCTCAAGACCATAGTACTGTAGCATGGACCCTGACCTCAAGACCATAGTACTGTAGCATGGACCCTGACCTCAAGACCATAGTACTGTGGCACAGACCCTGACCTCAAGACCATAGTACTGTGGCATGGACCCTGACCTCAAGACCATAGTACTGTGGCATGGACCCTGACCTCAAGACCATAGTACTGTGGCACAGACCCTGACCTCAAGACCATAGTACTGTGGCATGGACCCTGATCTCAAGACCATAGTACTGTGGCACAGACCCTGACCTCAAGACCATAGTACTGTGGCATGGACCCTGACCTCAAGACCATAGTACTGTGGCATGGACCCTGATCTCAAGACCATAGTACTGTGGCACAGACCCTGACCTCAAGACCATAGTACTGTGGCACAGACCCTGACCTCAAGACCATAGTACTACAGCACAGACCCTGACCTCAAGACCATAGTACTGTGGCACAGACCCTGACCTCAAGACCATAGTACTACAGCACAGACCCTGACCTCAAGACCATAGTACTGTGGCACGGACCCTGACCTCAAGACCATAGTACTGTGGCACGGACCCTGACCTCAAGACCATAGTACTGTGGCATGGACCCTGACCTCAAGACCATGGTGCTGTGGCATGGACCCTGACCTCAAGAGAATAGTACTACAAAATGGACCCTGACCTCAAGACCATAGTGCTGTGGCACGGACCCTGACCTCAAGACCATAGTACTGTGGTACTGTTACGACTAAATCTTCACCGTAACAATAGGGGCACAAATAACTCCATTTTTTTTTTGTTGTTTTATTTTATTACCAATCATTTAGTTTCATTGGTATTTGGTTAGTGAATTAAAATAACCACAAGCAATTATAAATGAAATACTATACAGCAAGAAACCCAATCTTACATTCAAATTCTCATTAACAGAGTATGATACAATAATTTCAATTAATAATCTACTAATCTCACCATTTAACTCTTTTAGAAAGGTCTGAGGTAACGAAATAGTTATCTTTCATAAGTGACATGAATTACCAGACTTCAGGAAACTAATGGCAAAGGCAAGACAAAAGACTTGGTTTAAAGTTTAAGTTTAAGCTAGGAGCTTTGTGTTGAAGACCCTACCGAGTCAGAGCTGGGAAAGCTGACTGACTCACTCAACTACTCCATAGTATGACTTCAGCTCGGCAAGAAGGTGACGCGTGTCGTCAATTCTAGAACCACCAATTGGTCACTACAGTAGTGGTTACACATTCGTAATACCTAACCTAATAATAATACAGTGGACCCCCGGTTAACGATATTTTTTCACTCCAGAAGTATGTTCAGGTGCCAGTACTGACCGAATTTGTTCCCATAAGAAATATTGTGAAGTAGATTAGTCCATTTCAGACCCCCAAACATACACATACAAACGCACTTACATAAATACACTTACATAATTGGTCGCATTCGGAGGTAATCGTTATGCGGGGGTCCACTGTATAATATAATACAATGAGAGTACTTTTGATGATTCGTACTGTACCCGATAATAATATATAGTCGAACCTGCTTTATCTAGCTAGTAATAAAGTGGTTCGCGATATATTATTACAGAACTTATTTTAACCAGGCCTTTTATTTTTGTATATAATGGAGTGAAGTAGGGGCGCGTAACACCTCCTCCCTCGCGACTGACAGTCGCCATTGACTTGTACTCTCGGTGGTGGGTAGCATCTGTCGTAGTAGCAGAGGTTGTAACAGACAGCAGTTCTACACCAGCTTTCTCCACAACATAGATGGTCATAAAAGTACCGACTCATACTGTTAAAATAAAGGTATATTAATAAAGATTCAAGGCCTAGAGAGGGCATCAGCAATGAGATTGTTTTCCTTTTATATGGGAAATAGTAATAGAGAAGGGTTGAATTCTCAAAGCCCAACGAAGTATTCTGGCATTCTTCGATTTCATAGTATTTATGAAGGTCAAAGGATTGTGATCGGAGTACACCGATATCTGATGGGGAGAAGATCCTAAATATACATCAAAATTCTCTAGGGATACAACGAGAGCTAAGGCTTCTTTTTTCTATAGTTGAATAATGAATTTGGTGTTTCTTTAACTTAGAAGAAAAATAAGAAACAGGTTGTAATAGGTCAGAATTTGGAGCCTTCTGCAACAATGCGGCTCCCAAAGCACACGCACTGGCATCTATTTGTAAGTGGAAGGGTTTTTATTAAAATCAGGACTTAGAAATACTGGGGAAGAGGATAGTAACCTTTTTTTTTAGGTTTTTTAAAAAGCAATTTCACGTCCTGGGTCCATGAAAAACTTTGTTTTCAGACTTGTTAATTCAGTTAGGGGAAAAGCTACCTGTGCAAAATTCGGACAGAACCGACGGTAGTAACCGGCAACTCCTAAAAATCTTGATACGCTTTTCCTATCCTTAGGGGTAGGAAATTCTAAGAGGGCCTTTACTTTGGCGTTCAAAGGAGTGACTTCACCTTGTCCAATCCGAAATCCTAAGTATTTAATTTTCGTCTTTCCAAACTCACACTTGGACAAATTCACTGTAAAATTATGTTTACTTAAGGCGTCAAACAAGGCTTTAAGCTGTCTAAGGTGTTGGGACCAACTGTTGCTGTATATGACTAAGTCGTCTAAGTAAGCGTCCAATCCACCCGTAAGTATGCTCATAATACGCTGGAACGTAGAGGCCGCGTTACAGAAGCTGAAGGGCATAACGCAATAGTACTTGTATAGGCCACCAGGTATCGTAAAAGCCGATATCTCTTGAGCTCTTGGTGACAATGGGACTTGGTAATACCCTCTTAACAAGTCCAGTTTACTGATATACTTAGCTCTGGAGATCTTGTCTATTAAGTCGTCAATTCTGGGTATTGGAAACCCATCAGGTACTGTTACAGCATTGACTTTTCTAAAATCCGTGCACATACGGGAGGTCCCGTCTGGTTTGGGGACTAGAATGCACGGGGATGCCCAAGGACTGTTAGTACTTGGTTTTATCAACCCGTGTGAGAGTAAGAAGTTCACCTCTGCCTCTAGCTCACCTTGTTTCTGGGACTCACTCTGTAGGGAGATTGCTTGATTGGAGTAGGTTCTCTGAGAGTAACATCGTGCACACCCAACGTACACGGTTTTGGGACGTCGTTGAATAGGTGGAGATTTGCCTTAATCAGGGATTTTATTTTGTGTCCTTTGTCCACTTCCAGATTTATCAGTAGAGAATTTAAATTCTTTAAGGCTGTCGAATTGTTCAGAAGAACCGGTACTCCTAACATTTCATCCGAACTTGCTGGTACCCGTTCTTGGTTCAGAGGCGTTATAGTAGAAATTGGAGAAACGATTCCTGAATAGGGTTTAAGTCGATTAATGTGATACGTCTGTTGTGAGTTCCTCTTCTTCGGCGTCCTTACCAAGTAGTTCACGTCACTTAGGCGCTTCACGATTTCTAAAGGACCTTCCCAAATTTTTGGGCTGTAGAGCATGTCCCGATGAAATCGTTGAACCAGAACTTGATCTTTTGGTTCAAATGAACGAAGTTTAGTTCGACGATCATATTCCTCCTTCATCTTACTCTGCTTGTCGTAAGTTTTCGGCGGCCAATTCTCTAGCTAGGCTCAGGCATTCTTTCATTAAGGTAGGAGAGCTCCTAAAAGTCGGCGTTTCTTCCCCCGGTCCAAGCTTCTTTGAGAACCTGTACTGGTCCTCTAATTTGATGCCCATATATTAACTCAAATGGCAAAAACTTCAAGTTGTCTTGTTTGCATTCTCTTAGGGCAAACAAGAGTAGTGGAATACCTTCATCCCAATCTTTGGAATACTGCAAACAATAGGACCTCATCATAATCTTCAAAGTTTGATGGAACCTTTCCACCACGCCTTGTGATTGGGGTCGATAGGCCGTCGCGTAAACCGTCTTGACCCCTAACTGAGCCAAGGCTTCACAGAAAAATTTTGAAGTAAAATTCGACCCTTGATCCGATTGAACTTCTCTTGGAAATCCGAAGTGAGAGAAGAACTTAATCAGTGCTCTCACTATTAGGCGAGCATTAATCCTCCTGAGAGGAACTGCTTCCGGGTACCTGGTGACTGTGTCCATGATAGTGAACAGGAACTGGTTGCCCTGCCGAGTCTTGGGTAGGGGCCGACACAGTCGATCCCCAGACGTGAAAAGGGTTCGCCTCTTACTTGTGTAGAGTTCAACGGCGCAGGTGGTGGATTATTGTGCGGGTTTTTGCCTACTAGTTGACACATGGAACAGCTTCTTACATCCCGTTCCACTTCTTCCTTCTTTTTTTGGCCATGTGAAGTGCTTGGGCAATTTTCTAAAGTCTTCTTTTGTCCCAGATGTCCACCTTGAGGACTGTCATGAGCAAACTTACATGCTAAATTTCTAAACGGGGTAGGCAAGACCACTAGATGATCACTTTTAAGAGATCCTAGTTTCTTTTTCAGTAAGTCCTTCTCCCAGTAGTAAGAGCTGTCACTTTTAAGGGCTTCTTCCCCCCAAAACACAGCAAGCTTCCTGTTTGTCACTTAAGGAGGGGTCTATTTGGAATTCTCTTACTAGATCCTCCTCCGAGAATAAATCTATTTCGGAAACCACCGACTTAGGAACTGGTATCGGTTCTGGGTGGACTGTTGGCTCGAAACTCGAGCTTTCGTTGAATATGTCTCCTACTCCTACGTCGACGTCGTCCATGACCTCCTCCGATATCAATGGAGAACGCGGCTGTTTGGTCATTGCCCGGGTTACTATGCTCAGAGGAAAGAGGGTAGGTTCCGTTCGTCGGGCTTCAATGAGAAAT